TAGGGTTCTTTTTGTTTCTTGCTTAATCAATGATTGATACTTCACTTTAGTTAGCCTCGTAGACGACAGATCTCTCTTTTAATCGTCTTTTTGCCCTTTTGGTTTTCGTTTTCTTTTTTGTTTTATGTGTTTTTCCTTTATAGAAATCCAATCATGTTCTATACCTTTTTCTTAATCTTCGATTTCATCATTTTTTATCAATCAAATCGTGTTTAAACCTTGTTCTTAATCATCTCCAATGCATTTCCTATTTCTTTTTTAACTTTGGAAACGTACAATAATTTTCGCGATTTGATAAAAAAAATTTATAAATGCAATATATATTTTATAAAAAGTATTTTAAATACTTAAAGATTAAAGATTTTCTCATAGGAGTCCTTGTGTAGACCTTCTAAAACTCGTTGATATACGTGTATATTCTTGTATATTATATTGTTATTATATGATCTCTTTTACCCAAATAGATTTATTATCTTTAGAATGTCAGAATAATAGATATTGTAGTTGTCGTATTACACTAAAAAAGAATCAATGGCTAAGAAAACTATATATTCTACAATGGCTACTTTGATGATTTATTTTGATGATGAATACAAAAATGGTGGTTGTTCCTTACGAAGGTGATTCCTTGTTCTTGAGAAGCTCATTAATGGGGATACAGTTTTCCTTCATTTTTGTTTCAAACACGTTGTAGACAATGAAGATTCATATAATTAATGAAAGGGAGAATATTGACGTATTGTTTGATTAGTGTAATTTGTCTTGTTTGTGTGTATTCAGTAAGGATTTAGTCGGGAAAAAAAGGTAGGAGAAGGTTGAATGTGAAGTTGCGATGACAACATCTTCTTCTACAGAAAACAAATTCTCAGTTCCAATCAAAGAGAAGAGTATGCAGTATTATCTTTATCCACCTCCAGTTGGCCAATATGAAGATGTTATGGCCAGTTACAAACTCTTCATGGATACTCTTGGGAAATTCCATGCTGCTATGGGAACAAAATTCAAGTAAGCTTCTGTTTTTTTACTCCTTAAGCCCAATTCCAATAATATGGGTATATCATATGAGCCCAATACTAACAATCATTGGCCCACATGTAACTTATAAAACCTTACACACTACCAGAGTTTTTTCATAAAGGTTTTTGTTGTGTCACTAATACCACAGTTTTTCATAACTTATTTATATTATTCTATTGTTTTTTTGTATAAGTTGGCTAATTACAATTGGTGAATATATATGGGGCCCACAACAATGGTTGGAAAAACTCAATAAAGTTCTTGTTGTATTGTTGTATATAAGGATAATGACATAAAAACCCTTAAGTTTGCAAGTTTTTTTTGGTTTTGCCCAAAGTTGTATTTTAGGTCCATTAATGTCTCAAATTTGCAACTTTTTTTCTTTTCAATTTTATTTTGTGGTTTATTAAAGCCCTTAAGTTTGGCAGAAATGTTCAGTTTTACCCTTTTTTCTGGTTCATAAAAGCCCTTAAGTTTTGTTTTCTGGTTCATAAAAGTCTTTAAGTTTGGCAGAAATTATCAGTTTTACCGGATAAAATTGCAAAAATGGTAAAATTGAAAAAAAAAAAAAAAGTTGCAAATTTGAGGCATTAATGGATCTAAAATACGACTTTGGGTAAAACCGACAAAAACTTACAAACTTAAAGGTTTTTATGGCATTTGCCCTTATATATATGGGAAGTTGTTGAGTACTTGATTTACTGGTATGGTGGGTCAGCTAGGGGTTGTTGAATAAATTGTTTGCATAAGATTGATGTTATTCTAATACTTTGCATGTTGTAGGATTCCGATTGTTGGTGGAAAGGATCTTGACTTGCATCGCCTATTTATGGAAGTCACTTCCCGTGGTGGCATTAAAAGGGTACCCTTAATCTTTCTTCCCATTACTTCTCATTTTCTTATCATTTTTGTTACCTCTTTCCATGTCATGATGAAACTGAAATTAATAATATAGGTTCTTGAAGACAAAAAGTGGAGAGAGGTGACTAATGTTTTCAACTTTCCACCCTCAGCCACAAATGCTTCTTTTATTTTGCGCAAGTATTACATGTCACTCCTTCACCATTTTGAACAAGTCTACTACTTCAAAGCAAAAGCATGGACTCCTGTTCCTACTGGTATGCTAATAACTCTTCACTCGACCAATTACATGTTATTCTAATTTCTACACCTTTCGACACTTTCACTGGAAAAGCCCTTAAGTTTTCACAAAATGTCCGGTTTTACCCTTTTGTGTATTTTTGGTTCACTAAAACCGGAGGTTTGCAACTTTTTTTTTTCAATGTTACCCTTTTTTCAGGTTTACCTGGTTAAACCGAACATTTCTACCAAATTTAAGGCCTTTAATGAACCAAAAATATACAAAAGGGTAAAACTGAAAAAAAAAAAAAAATGTTGCAAACCTCCGGTTTTGGTGTAACCAAAAATACATAAAAAGGTAAAACAATACATTTCGTGAAAACTTTAGGGCTTTTATGACATTATGCCGTTTTTTAATTCAGATACTTGGCAAAGTACAAAGTCAACTCTCACTTCAATGTCCGAAATGAATAAAGTCATGCTCCGATTACCTGAAAATCAAGAACTCGCATCAGGGAAGAGGCTGAGGACGGAGACAGATGACGGTTCGCCGGAATTAGGTTTTCCGGTGACCGGAATAATCAACGGAAAATTCGAAAGTGGGTATCTTTGTAGTGTCGGAATAGGTGGAGAGCAGCTACACGGGGTTCTTTATCAGACGACTGTGTGTACCCCATTATGTGAAGTAACTCAAGATGCAACCATGGTTAGGTGTAGGCGTAGACGTAGGAAGAAATCTGAAATGAAGAAGAGGGATCCTGCGCATCCAAAACCTAATAGAAGTGGATACAACTTCTTTTTTGCAGAACAACATGCCAGGCTTAAATTACTTCATACGGGAAAGGATAGAGGGATTAGTAGGATGATCGGTGAACTTTGGAACAATTTAACAGACTCTGAGAAGGCGGTGAGCATGCAAAATTAGAAGAAATATTCTTATTTTTGTTTGCATGTGTTACACAGGACAAAACTGGACAGACTGTCTAGGGTTATTTTCTATAATGTTTACGAGGTCATTCACATCTTTTGCACATAAGACAGATCGAAAACAAGTCTAAATGTTCCACCTTTTTTGGGTGGGACAAAAGTTGTTAATTTTTTGTCCCACTAGCCCAAATATGCACCAAACACAACTATTTTAGATAGGACAAAAGTTGCAATTTTACCGTCAAAATGCAGTAAAACCTATATTGTCATGTCATGTTGACTTTTTTGGGTTGGACAAAAGTTGTTAATTTTTTTCACACCGGTATCAGTCCAAATGTGCACCAAACACAGTGAAACTTGTTTCTGTCATTTCATGTCATGTCTACTTTTTTGGATGGGACAAAAGTTGCAATTTTTGACCCAATGACAGTTAAAACCTGTAATGTCATGTCATGTTTACCTTTTTGGGTGGGACAGAAGTGACAGTTTTTGTCTCACTGACACAATCCCAGTCCCTCATTGTTTCTCCTCTTTTTTGGTGTAACAAAAGTTGCAATTTTTGTCCTGTTCTGTTGGATTCTTGATATTGTTTTTTTTTTTTTTGGCTTCAGGTTTACCAGGAAAAAGCGGTTGAAGATAAGGAACGCTACAGAACTGAAATGGAGCATTACAGAGAGAATTTCAGAAGAGAGCCACTCATAAACAATGCAGTGGTGCCATTGCAGCAACAGTATTACACAAATATGATGTTGGATGACAACCCTGAAAATGATGGTGAAAATTCTCATCAAACTGCTGAAAACGAACTGAATTCGGGGTATTGTGATAATGAAAAGAGCAGCAGTGAAGCTGAAGAAGGTACTAAAGATAAGAACTTAAATCTTGAAATGCCATTAGAAGTTGAAATGGGAGGTGAAAATGATGATACTATAATGAAGCCAAAGGAGGAGTTAGCATTTGGTAATAAAAAATCATTTGATATTGGTCATGAAGATGATCAGTTGGTGTTTCTTCATGGATCACTTCAACAAAACTCAATATCTGTTCAAGAGAATGAACCACTAATTGAAAATGAATCAATGAAAGATGGAAAGAATTCTGATAATCAACCGATGATTCTTGATATTAGTGATGAAAACAAGAGAGAATCGGATAACAATCAAGAGAAGGATTTAGTGTACAATGCAGAAAACTTTGAGAAAGATACAGAAGTTTTTAAAGAAACAGAAGACAAGTGAAGGATCCTTTCTTGATTAGGACTCCATTTTTGACACACGAGAGAATAGTAGTTCATGACTTTATCAAGTTTAGCTTTCCTCAACAATGTTGCTTTTAGAGATTTTAGTTTTACCTTTTATGTCTTTTATTTCTATGTTTTTGTTGGTAATATGTTGGTAAAGTAGTGTTTTTGTAATTCCGAGACATGATACTTTGCTTACATTGGAACAAAATCAGTATTATGAATGTTGATTTGGCAAAATTAAGTTCTTTCAATAAAAGAATAATTATTCTAGCAACACAGTAGCCTGATACTTAGTAGCTACAAGTAGTCCAATCAAATCGTTGACCTTTTCTTCTAGTGTATCATTATGAAACCACCTGTGATTGAGTGTGTTCTTTTTACTCATGTATGCAAAGATTGAAGCCCACTCCTTATGTGGGTCCATATAGGTTCTTGAGAAGATGCTACAAGTTAATGGGTCCATATAGAAAATCCTAAATTTGAAAGTGACTACCTCAATTAGTAATTCCAAATAAAAATAAATAAAAGTCAAACCCTTAAAGAATAATTGTTTCCATTAACACTTGAAAGTTGAAGCCTACCAAAACCAAAACTTGGAATCAAGATTTAAAAACAAAAAAGGGTAATCGAAAAAGAAACCAAAAAATGCAACAATGGGCAGATTCTTGATTTGTGCCATAAGGAGCAAAAACATCATAAAAAAAAAAAAAATACAATCTATGAGCATATGTAGTCAAGAATCAGAAACAAGAATAGCATCCCAAATCATATCCATGTCCAAAGATGGCATTCGACTTAGCTGAACCCCTTCCACAACATCTGATGCTCCTTCTTCCATCTGTTTCTTGATTTTTTCATTGTTTACCTCCGAGTTTCTTGAAGTTTCTGATAAGGTGTTTTCTTGCAATGGTGGTGATAGTTTAGTGATACCCTTTTGAGATAAAGCTTGTAACTTTGCTTCAAGAAGAGCTGCAGTGTTTCCATTTATTGAATTGGCTTTCAACTGGTTCTTCAAATTTGGAAAATTTAAGTGCGCATAATCACCCCTTAATAAATAAGCAGCTGTGTCATATGCAAAAGCAGCGTCTTCAGCTGTATCAAATGTCCCAAGCCAAACTCGTGTTCGGTTTCTTGGTAATCGGATTTCTGCCACCCATTTTCCCCAATGACGTTGCCTTACCCCTCTAAATAGCTTCCCTGGTGAACAAACTGATGCTAACAAGGAGGTCCTTTTGAGGGTAGTATCGGGAATTTGCCTTCCTGTATACTTCATTGGCTGAGTTTTGGTTGTCTTCAACCAGTAGTCACCAGAACTTGACATGTTTTGAGGTTGCATAATGGTCGTCAATGATGGTTCAGTGGCTTGTGATGAAGGTTGGTTGAGTTGTGAGAAAGTTTCAAGAAAATTTATAGGAAACGATGGTGATGATGATGATGAGGATGATGATGGTGATGATGATGATGGTGATGATGATGATCTTGAAACGCCATTCCAGATGATGGAATTGGCAAAAAATTGTGTATGTTTGGCATATTCTTGAACATAAGAAGTAGAACTCATTGTTTCTTTCTGGAGGAAAGTATCCATCTTAGGAAACTGATGATTCTCCATTGGTAGTGATCTACTTTGTGAAATGGAATTTAGGAAGACAAAAAATGAGAGGTTCGAATTATATAGAACTATGAAGGGAGTATGACTTTTTATATTTTATGTTACAGGCCACCAGATGTCACTGGTATTTTATATTTTATACTCAAAAGTCAGATCTAGAGTTAAAAAGGCTCATCAAGATTAAAACCCCACAAAAAAGTTCCACGCTTTCGTGCTCACCATTCATGATATTCTTTTGTTGACCAATGAAGTATTGACACGTCAGTTTTTGTGTTATTGTGAGGTTTAACAGATATTGTTGTATATTGTTTCTTGCTGGTGAAACTTGAGAACACACAGGCTTGCAAGTTTATTAGTAGTGATCATGTGATGTCTAATGAACCTTTATTGCTCTTTTTCTATATTTTTGTTTTACTTTTTTGGGTTAATGATTAGACTTTGTCTTTAGATTAAGAATATGATAAACAAGTTTAGAGATAATATAAAATATTGAAGGCTGTAGGTGTTGATGGCTGTGTTTTGGCATCAAAGAAAGGACCAACTCATGATTGGCACATGTTTATAGGCGAATTAGAAGGTAACATGCATTTCAACCTTATTATTATTCTAATTTTGGCAAGAAAACAACAACTATGACCAAGCCGTTGCTGTTCTTTTTTGGATCTTAACATATTAGAGGGAAAAATGAATAGAACAAATACAAATAGGGCATCTACTATTTAAAAAAAAAAGACGTGTTTAGGCAGTACAATAAAAGAAATTATCTTTTTCACACTAAAAGAAACCCCCAAAAAAGATATCAAAGCATGCACGGGAAAAATCAATAACTACATTAAATTATGCAATAAACAAGAGGTCTCCTGCTCTCCATTTATGCAAATAGGGTCTACCAAATGAAAGTAAACAACAATAAGTCTTTGTAAACGTTTTTAAAACATTACTTATTGTGTGGTGGAATGCTAACAGATTCTATATTTCTATACATACATACACACATAAAGGGACATTTTTTCCATGGATCTAAGAGGACAAAGAGACGTGAGGCCCTGTTTTCTCAAGGTTTCTTTTTCACCTTTACCAATGTTCTATATATATATATTATATATATATATATATATATATATCTATATATATAATATATATATATATATATATATATATAGAGAGAGAGAGAGAGAGAGAGAGGTAGGTCCAAATGTGGATGGACATCTATTGTGTGGATGTAGGGACCGATGCGAATTTAAAAAAAAAATTAATAAATAGAATAAAGGTATAATAGTAATCTTATCATTTTTAATTATGGTAATTACTTAATAACATTTAATATTCCTTGAAATTAAGGAATTCGGTATTATAATCCCTTAAATCGCAGCTTATCTCCATAACCCTATTCCCCTCTTTTTCTTTCTTCTATCCACAGGCACGATCCCAAATCAATGAATCCATTTATGTTTCCATGGAAAACCCATAATTTATAGCACTTGAGATCAGTGGGAGTGTGATTCATCAAGAGAATGCCTCAATTTCTGATTTACACCCACATACAGACATGAGATCAGTTAGTGAATTGGTAATTTCATCTGACGACTCATAAATGGGTTTTATCCCTCCACATTGATTCTTCATCTGGCAACCCATTCCTTCCGTCAACTCCTCCTCGATCGTTGGATTTACATACCATGTTTTCCACCAGATATATGGCTTTGTCGCCTTCTTTATCACCCCATCACTATCCTTGTGTCGATGGTCTTCATTCCACATTCACTACCCTCTTCAAGTAAGAGAAGTATAATGTGTTTCCCCTTTTTATCTTCATAGCTCCATGTTTTTACTCGATCTCGATTGATGATTATAATAACGAGTTTGTTTTGTAGGGGTTTTTGGAGGCGATGGAGGCAAAAATGAATTATGATGTTTAATTTTGGAATTCCAACGATGGTCGATAGTCACAAAAAGGAATATGAAATTATTGTTTTTCCCCTTCAGCTTTAGTTTTTGGTTACTTACATTCAACTTGTCTCCTAAGTCAAAGGTAACAAAACAATCACTTCACATCGATTCTCTTTAGACTTGGTTGTTTTCTTTGTATATGTATATTATTGCACTCTAGTATTCAAGAATCTTTTACATTCCATATCATACAACTGAAAGTGTTGTTCATATATTTTAGGAACCAAAAGGTGGTTTGTTTGATTCAAGAGTATTTACATTCCATATCATATACACATTCTCTTTGTTGACATATCATCAAACATTTATAATCTTTCCAATACGACTAATGAACAATTTCCTCACCATTGTTTCTGTTTTATTACAGAAATTCTGATAATCGGATGTAACACCCGATTCCTGGTATGTATTTAAATTCAAGAAATGTTGAAATTTACTCTGGGACTCGCTGAGTTGGAGGCCCAACTTGTCGAGTAGACTCGACTGTTGATCGGGGGTTTAAGTGACCTACTCGACGAGTCGGAAGACCGACTCGACGAGTAGGAGCTGTCTGGACAAAACCCTAATATTTAGGGTTTGCACCCTATTTAAACAACTTATCTCCTCCCATATCAGCCTTCATCGTCCCTCACACTTCCTGAAGACCTTAAACTGAAACCCTAGCCTTGTTTGAGTGCTCTTAAGCCTTTTTTTTGTGCATTTTTTGGTGGTTGTGAAGCTTGAGAAGAAGGAAGGAGCTTGGGAGTTCAAGTTGAAGCTAGAAGGTCCAGAGATTGTGTTCCATTTCCAGCTCATTTAAGGTAAAAAGCTTCAATCTTGACTTTCCATGTGTTTAATCAACTTAGGGCTTGGATTTTGGTACCTTTAGGGCATTTCTAAGCCATTTTCGGGTTGTGGGGTGTAATGTGGAGATATGGCTTCAGATCTTGGACTTTGGAGGGTTCTCATGGCATAAAGGTGCCAACTTTATGGCCATGAGAGACTCATGCATCTTGTAGACCTCCTTTTTATGGCTGTTTGAGCCAAAGGCCCCATGCATGTACATCAAGTTTGAAGTTTTACGTATAAAATGGACCCTCGGGGGCCAGATCTATGGTTTTGACGCCTTACGACCCATTATAATCGACTGTATAGTTTTGGACATAGAGGGACTCGACGAGTCGTTCTTGGGATTCGGCGAGTCGGGGTGTATTTTCCACTAAATCCTTTCTATTATGGACCAGTTGTTAAGATCGAAGGTTCCCCCAGTTGTTTAGATTCACTAGGGACCTGGGAATCATAGGACTCGGCGAGTGGATGAACAGACTCAGCGAGTTCAAGGTAATGTCCCAGCCATATGAAGACGGACTCGGCGAATTGAAAGGGAACTCGGCGAGTCATAGACTAAACATCTTCTTATGGATGAAGATGAACTCGACAAGTTTAAGGACGAACTCGGCGAGTCGGTTGAAGATTGTCCGATGTGTTGTTGAAGGCGAACTCGTCGAGCTCTTGCTAGACTCGACAAGTAGGGACGAGATTATGGCTTTTTGTGGATATGAGGACTCGACGAGTTGACGGGCCAACTTGGCGATTCGAGTCAACCATATGTTGACTTTGACCAAAAGTTGACTTTGACCATGGATTTGACTTTGACTTTGACTTGGATTGAGTGACCATTGTAAGGGTTACGAGTATGAGTTGATAACTTAGAAGAGTTGTCGTGTAGGGATTGAGGAGTCGGGGAGAGTCGATTTCCACACCGAGATCAATACAGACACTACACGACTTCAAGGTGAGTTTCCTTCTAGTAGGGGTGGGTCTACAGCCACAATGCCGGCCCACAAGTGAGAGTGTTGGATAGATGATTGTCTTTGTGATAATTATCTAGGATTGATATGTGATATGCTTACTGTGATTGATATGATTAATGTGCTTGATATGATTATTATGCTTAATATGTGTTAGCAGTAGTAGGGGTGAAATAGTCCCCGGTTACTGGTTGAAAGATACCGAATGGGAGGTTAGTTCCCAGTTACCGGTTGAAAGATACCGAAGGGGAGGTTAGTTCCTAGTTACCGGTTGAAAGATACCGAGGGGGGAGTCCAGCTCCGGCTATGCCTGACAGTTACCGGTTGAAAGATACCGAGGATTATGCATTATTTGGTATGGGTATGATGGGGGAACTCACTAAGCTTTGTGCTTACGGTTTTTAGTTTTGGTTTCAGGTACCTCTTCGTCTAAGGGGAAGGAGTCGGCGATGTGGCAGCGCATTACACACACACACACATGATTTCCGCATTGAGTTTTCTGGGATTGTACTCTGATTTTTATTACTATTGATGATATGGTTTTGAGACAGGTTGTTACGGTTTTATAAATTGATATGACATTGGCAATGTTTTTGGTAAACTATTTTACGAGTTAATTAAAAATGAATTTTTTGGACTTGAAAATTGGGAGTTACAAGTTGGTATCAGAGCCTTGGTTTGAGGGATTCGGACACACCTTCGGGGGTGTCTGGACTCAAATCGAGGAAGATGCCTTGTATGCATGTTATATGATTCTGAGAACTGCATGCTAGATTAGGAGTTACGTTATGTTATATGATATGATTATAAGAACTGCATGCTAGATTAGGGCTAAGGATCTAGGAAGATGCCTTGTATGCCTGTTATATGATTCTGAGAACTGCATGCTAGAATAGAACTAAGGATCTAGGAAGGATGCCTTATATGGCTGTTGTATGAGCTTATTGAGCTGTATGCTAGGGCTGTTAGTCAACAGTATGAAAGCCTAATTAGGTTATGCTTGATTTGGTTACTCAATGCACGAATGCTGCTTGTTTTATGCTATAAGGGTTCTGGCTAGCTTTAACTAACTTGTAGGCGAATATGTAACAGTATTCGCAAGCTAGTTAGGGAAAGGTGGTAGGGACTCCTAATGCAGCTGATGGCGGAGAGTAGGTCGGAAAGTGTCCTAGGAAAGCCTAGGATGAGCGTTGGGAAGTTGTATTAGTAGAAAGGGACTTGGTGAAGTCAAGGCAGTTCTTGAGGAAAGTACGGATAGAT